AGGACCTATGAGGTGCTGCTGTTGTCCTGAAGTCATTGGAAATGCAGGCAAACAAACTGGCATGGTTCTGCTCTCAGTTGTCACAGCTGGGAGTCATCATCTACAGTGGTACCTCAGGTTACAGATGCTTCAGGTTACAGACGCTTCAGGTTACAGACTCCACTAACCCAGAAATAGTACCTCGGGTTAAGAACTTTGCTTCAGGATGAGAACAGAAATTGTGCAGCGGTGGCGGGAGGCCCCATTAGCTAAAGTGGTGCTTCAAGTTAAGAACAGTTTCAGGTTAAGAACGGACTTCCAGAATGAATTCAGTTCTTAACCTGAGGTACCACTGTATTCTTATTATTTCACACTATTCATTTGCTTGTTTTTCTCTGCTATGTGTCAGGCAGATTGAAACCTAATTCACCTTAGAGCACATTGCTCCTTCCACCTAATGGACTTTGGCTCTGGACAGTTCTCTGATCTCAGGAGGTTGTGAACTCTCCTTCCTTGGAGGTTTTTAAGCAGAGGTTCGGTGGCCATCTGTCATGGATGCTTTAGCTGAGATTCCTGCATTGCAGGGGGTTGGACTAGATGACCCTCGGGTCCCTTCCAACTCTATGATTCTATGATCTTCTGGGTAAGATTTGTTTGTCCATGTGCATGTGCATGTACAGAGGCAGAGGTAGGAAGAGATAGTTTCAAGTAAAAATTACCAGAAGGCATTTTTGTCACATCAGTTAAAATCAAATGAACATATTGTTGGAATTGGGGATGGACAAATCTGTCAATTTTTGTTTCTCTCAATCTTAACCCCCCCCCCCATTCTTAAATTCAGTTCTCTGCTTTTCTACAGAAATTTGCACATTTTTTTTGGTAAAAAAAGTCTCCACAATTTAGTGTGAATTTCTCCTAATATTTCTATGCAGTTTTGACCAATATACACATATTTCTAAGCAATTCCCCCCAATACAATGCATTTCTGTCTGTTATTTTTACTAATACAGTGGTACCTCGAATGGAATCTGTTCTGGAAGTCCATTCGACTTCCAAAATGTTCAGAAACCAAAGCGCAGCTTCTGATTGGCTGCAGGAAGCTCCTGGAGCCAATCGGAAGCCCCATCAGACGTCCAGGTTCCAAAGAACAGTAGCAAACCAGAACACTCACTTCCGGGTTTGCAGCATTCGGGAGCCAAAACATTTGACTCACAAGGCATTCAGAATCCAAGGTACAACTGTATATGTAATCTTCTGGATGAGATCTAAATTGCAATCAAAGTATGGTGTGAAAAGGCATGGGGCTATCACCTTTCTGAAGCTAAGCAGATCTAGGACTGTCCAACCCAGCTGAAAGAGTTCTAGAGAACCACATGTTAACCACCTTGGGAACAATGATATAATATAAATGTAAGAAATAAATAACTTCAGTAGGTGGATCATGGCCTCACTGCAGGATCACTCCATGTAATATACAATTCTGTCACTGTTAGGCCTGTTAATTCTCATTTTATGGACTTGTCCCCTTGAAAAATATTCTGTTGCTGCCAATGTTGCCCTGCTTTTTCAGCTAATTAGCAGCTTCCTGCATTGCAAAACTAACTTAGAAAAAAAAACCATTCCCCCTTCTTTATATTCTGGAAACACAATCCTTCATTCTCTCTTATTTGCTGCCAAAGGATCCTTCCAATATACTCAGGTTTGTTTGATTGAATCAGCTCTCTCCTGCCATTTTGCAAGAGTGAAAATGACTTTAATTATTTGGATGTTGCTTGGAATAATTTATCAAAGAACACTTGCTAAAAATCAATGAGGCCAACTGAAACACTATTGCTTGCAGGTTTATATCTGTTTTAAATAAGAGCTTTGGAATTATTAATGTATCCACCAAGAAAGAGAGTTCAAAGTTGCTGACAGATGTTTGCCTTCCTCTCATAGCCTCCACACACGGCAGTTTCATAAAGAGCCGGCTGCCTCATTCTGGCACTTTCCCTCAAAGAATCATAGAGTTGTAGAGTTGGAAGGGACCGGAAGGATCGTCCAGTCAAACCTCCTGCAATGCAGGAATCTTTTGCCTAACGTGGGGCTCAAACCCACAGCCTTGAGTTTAAGAGTCTCATGTTCTAACAGCTGAGCTATTACTTGCCTTTCTAAGGGAAACCACCCACTGATGCTAATCACATGGAACACTCTGCCAATAGAGATTCAGCAGACACCTTCTGTTTCTGTGCCTCCTAGTCTGTCAGGGTTATAGCTATTCTTACAATAGTTAGCCAATTTCTGATTTTAAAATTTTCATGGTTTTTAAGCTGGTTTTATGTACACTATATACTGTTGCCAGTTGCTCTGATATTTTTCATTAATAGAAGCATATAAATATTTTTAATCAATCAATTGTAGTCTGATGATCTGCCTATATGCACTGCTTTTTTCTGGGGGAGCATGCAGGGGTACGCGTACCCCTAAACATTTTGTGAATCTAAGTTTGGCCTCATTGAGGGGCAGTATTTCCTATGAGTAGGAAAATGAGAGTACCCCTAAACATTTTTTAAAGAAAAAAAAGTACTGCCTACTGTACAATCACTCAGAATGTAGTGGGAGTGCATCAAAGATAAGAGAATCTTCCTTGATTTTATCCTTGCTTTTAGCAAAGTCCAGAGACATACATACATACACATATCCCGATAATACTTTACTGAGGAAACTGAACAAAAACAGTACATAACTAAGGAGAAAGAAACAAATAGGTTATATCTTTCTTACTTCAGGCCTTGGACATAGCAGGGAGGCATTCAACCACAGGTACAGAGGAAAAGCTCCCTCAGAACTACACAGCCAGTCAGATTACATGCCTCCTCAGTAGGGATCATGCCACTCTGCCTGGTTGGTAAGCAACATCTTCTCCAACACCGGCTTTTGGTTAGCTGACTTACTGAGAGCAGAATTAACTCTTAGGTTACACTGAATGATCCCCGCTGTTTCACTCCCAGCAGTTGTCATCCTTGCCGTCTAGTGGAATACAGCTCCTGCTATTTTACATAGAAAAGGGTCCCCATTTCAATACAGTGGTACCTCAGGTTAGGAACTTAATTCATTCTGGAGGTCTGTTCTTAACCTGAAACTGTTCTTAACCTGAGGTACCACTTTAGCTAATGGGGCCTCCCGCTGCCGCTGCGCCACCAGAGCACGATTTCTGTTCTCATCCTGAAGCAAAGTTCTTAACCCGAGGTACTATTTCTGGGTTAGCGGAGTCTGTAACCTGAAGCGTCTGTAACCCAAGGTATTACTGTACTCCACTCTCCCAGAGCACTTTGCAAATGGGTGTGAAACTGTTCACAAGGGGGCAAATATCAGGGGGAAGAAGGTGCCCAGGCAACTAGATCAACTGCCCCCTCAGATGGTGTGCAATCTTAACTTTCTAAAAGGGTCTGCGTTTTCTTTTCCCCAGCAAGCAGAGAAAACCCGTTTGTTTTGTTTTGTAACAAAGCACAATTGAAATGTTAATATTTTCTTTGGCTTTTACATTGTTATATCTGTCAGTCGTGGCAAAAGGGCTACTTCCTTTTTAGCAACAAAAAAAGAAATGTGGCCAGATCTAATTATAACTTTGAATTTATAGCTTTTTCCAGTTCAAGAGATTGATCAAGAAAACTGTGCAACAGCCCTGGTGGACAGGCGTAAAGAAGGCAATTCATTGGAAACAGTTTAAGGAGATGTATGGAAAGAAACACAAGAATTATACATATAAATTTGCTATTCAAATGGTTAGGGAATAACAAAGAATTGTTCCAAATGGTATTTAACATCAGTGTTAGGGATGCAGGTGGCACTGTGGTCTAAACTACTGAGCTTCTTGGGCTTCTTGATCGGAAGGTCAGCAGTTCGAATCTGCGCAATGGGGTGAACTCCTATTGCTCTGTCCCAGCTTCTGCCAGCCTAGCAGTTTGAAAGCATACCAGTGCAAGTAGGTAAATAGGTACCACTGTGGTGGGCGTTGGGCATTTCCGTGCGCTCTGGCACTCATCATGGTCCTCCATGTGCCAGTAGCAGTTTAGTCACACCTTTCCCTTTCCCTAATGTCAGTGATAAGAAATGCGTCAAGGCCTTCAGCACCTCCTTGCTAAAGCTAAGCAGGTCTAAGACTGGACAGTTCCTGAATGAATGACCACCTGAGTACATCATGCATGCTGTCTTGGGTTACAGGATGAAAGAAGGATGTGATATAAATGTAAGAAGATTATGAGGCAGTTCTTCTTAGGAAGGCTTTTCTGTAGAAACTCACAAATCCTCCTTAAATTTCAGAATATTTCGCATCCTCCCCAACTGATTCACACAGCAGTTTTGAGCGAGTGAGGCAAGGGTGAATGGAAGAGACATTGAACTAGGAAATATTCTACAAGAAACTCCTCTTCTCCTTCTCGGGGGTATCCATGCTGGTGAAAACCATCAAGCCTTTAAAGGGGTTATTTCCTGCCTGTACTTTACATTTAAATCGCTTCTCTCGTCATACGTGGCTATTTCATTTGGCACCCTGCTCTCTCAATGTAGTTTAAATTCACTGCTTTCTTCCAATGCAAACTGTACTGCCATGCAAATTTTCCTTTCTCCCAATCTGTTCAAGGAATTAAACAAGGCTGACCGATGTCTAAAAGTCTCTGCCTTCTCACTTTGGTATTCCAGACAAAGGGAGGAGCCGCTTCCTTCTGCCCTCCCAGATCTCCAGGACATTTGCCGAGATTCCCCCCCCCCCGTTGCTGCTGGGGGCTGTTTGTTAGACAGTGTCAACAGGGCAGGTGGAAGGAAGCCATTCATTAGCTGGCAGGAGGACCGATTACAGAGGAAAGGTGCTTGGCTTTGCATGTTAAGACTGCATCACAACTATGCACATCCTGATCTGGAGATTGCACTGACAGGCAAAGAGAAAGGATGGCCGAAGAGGCAAGTGTGGTGTAATGGTTAGAATGTTGGACTAGGACCTGGGCGAGAGACTTTGGGAATAATATATAGCTTACAGCTTGGGAAAAACTAAGTTTGTTATTGGTATGAGCTTTCGTGTGCATGCACACTTCTTCACATACCAATATCTGAAGAAGTGTGCATGCACACGAAAGCTCATACCAATAACAAACTTAGTTGGTCTCTAAGGTGCTACTGGAAGGATTTTTTTTCTTTTGTTTTGACTACAGGAGACCAACATGGCTATCTACCTGTAACTAGAGTTTTAAAGTTTGGGATTTAAAGTTCACGGCATGTTGAAAGAAAATTATATGAAAATGATGTGCCGATAGTATTTAACTCCTAGTAAATTAGCAAAAGTGTATAAAACATGCTCAAATGTATGCTGGAAATGCAAGGAAAAAGAAGGCACCTTTTATCATATGTGGTGGAATTGTAAGGCAGTAAAAGGATCTTGGGAAATGATATATAATGAGTTGAAAAAATGTTTAAAATAACCTTTGTTGAAAAGCCTGAAGCCTTCCGTTTAGGAATTCTAGGTGCTGAAATCCCAAAGATGCAGAGAAGACTATTATGTATGTGAGCACGGCTTCACGGATGTTACTGGCCCAGAGATGGAAAGAAGATAAAGTTCCTACCAGAGAAGAATGGCAGATGAAGTTAATGGACTATGCTGAAATGGTGAAAATGACTGGAAGAGTCAGAAATCAGGAAGACCAAAAGTTTCATAAGGAATGGAGGAAACTTATCTGAAAGACCATTGTAAACAGTTAAAATCGTTAGTAGGATTGGAATATCACTTGTGGTTTAAGGTTGAATTCTGGACATAATGGAAGAGGTAAAGGGTTTGGATCATCATAAGAGGTGTGAGAAGAAAGGATTAATAATAGGACCCACAAAGGGGAGGATGGAAGTCCAAGAGATTCCTTGGAATCTTGTTTTTATGATTTATGTTTGATATATCTCTGTAATTTTTTAATTTGAAAAACCAAATCAATAAATTTTCAAGAAAGAAAGAAAGAAAAAAAGAATGTTGGACTAAGACCTGGGAGGCCAGGGTTCAAATCTCCACTTGGCTATGAAGCACACTGTGAAGGTAGAACACTGTGAGGAAGAGAATTATGTATGCTACCCTGAGTTCTTTCGAGGAAAAGCGGGGTAGAAATGTAATAATAAAATTATTATTATTATTATTATTATTATTATTATTATTAAATGCTGCTTGTGCAAGCAAGTTCCAGGTGCATCTAAAAAGCATCACAAGATCCTCAACAATGAATTAAGCTGCCTGGATGTGGACCCTCTAGGTGTGTGTATATCCTGTGAATTCTGCCTTCTGTATATTTGGGGATGAATCCCGAAGGAGGATAGGTTTTTCCACAGTGTTCCCAGGATCCTTGCAATATGCTATAGCCGTTTCCATGCTCATCAGCACAAAGGTGCTAAATTGTTCTTGTTCTTTCAGTACAAGTGTAGTACACTGCCCTGTGGGGTTTGCAACCCTATTTCTGGCTCTGGGGCTCTCTGGTTCTCTCTTTCCAAACAGACTTTTAGAGAGCCTGTTTTCTAATATCAACATCATACAACGAAGCAAAGTACTTAGATATTTTGTCCTTTGCTTTCAACTGAAAATCTGTAAAATAAAAACCAAACACATTGGAATTAGCACCACAAAGGGGTTGGTGGGAGAGCAAACGATCAGGCAAATTATCCCATTTGGGTGCGGTGGGGACACACAGAAAAAGCATGCATGCTGCACTTTAGTTTGATAGGAACAGCTCCCTAGGGCTTCTTTGTGTGTGACGTTTGTATAGAAGAAAGCACACAGAGCATCATGTACAGAGTGTGGCATGAACATGCTTTAAAGACCGGGTAGCCAGTCTATGAACAGCGATCACAGAGAGCAGAAAGTGAAAAGCCCACTGTGCAAGCACTTGTGTGCCTAGGGTGGCATGTGCCAGCTGCTGCTGAGATATGCCAGGTGGTTGTTTTTAATTAACCACCCCATTAATTCAAATGGCATGAATACATAAAACGCCAACTGGCTTAACCCTAGCAATGTCCATGCATACACTATTCACAACCACTGCACTTTTTTCAGACCAACAGCTCTGTCCTGGAAGACAGCCGAACACATTTAGGACATCATACAGGCACCTTTAAACACCCCTGACATGTGTAGGACAACTGCGATAAATTCAGTGATATACATGCATATGTGAATCCACCTGGAAGGGAGACCATTTGAGAACCACTTTGGGTTCCATGATGGAAGAAAGGTGGGAAATGGATGGATGGATGGCCTTGCTTGTACTTAAAAAATTATATTGAAACCGATTGTTAATTGGGACAGGACGCAGATTTAGTGCTGACTGCTTAAGCTACTTGTTGCATTTATGGGCAAAAGACTGTGTGAAAATCGACAATTATAGGGCTATTCTAAAATTAAATAAACCACTCTTTATGGGACTTTGTTGACCAGTTAGTTAAATGTGTGAGCAGGGGGACAGGATATTATTCAAGGTATGTGTCCCTGTTAGCCTATGCCAGGGGACAATCCTTCATACAAACAGCTAACAGTGGCACATCTCCATGGACTCTGCTTCCTGATAGCAAGCCACGGAATCAGGATAGCATCTAAACAAGCTGTGTGTCTGTTGTCCCCAAGTTTTCTGACACAACTTCGGTCTTCCTTGGTTCTCCTTTCTGCTTATTGTATCTTTGCGTCTACAGCATTCTAAAACCAATTCATTATAAAATCAGTTCAAATCAAATTAATGGTAACCATTGGGCTAGAGTTCTGTGAAGATTGCCAAAGAAGGGAGTCAGGCTATGCCCTGGCCAAAGGCCTGGTGGAACAGCTCTGTCTTGCAGGCCCTGTGGAAGGGTGTCAAGTCCCGCAGGGCCCTAGTCTCTTGTGAGAAAGTGTTCCACCAGATCGGGGCCACAGCCGAAAAAGCCCTGGCTCTGGTTGAGGCCAGCCTATCCTCTCTGTGGCCCGGGACCTCCAAGGTGTTTTTGTTTGAAGACCGTAAGGTCCTCTGGGGGACATACTAGGAGAGGTGGTCCTGTAGGTGTGAGGGTCCTAGGCCGTATAGGGCTTTAAAGGTTAAAAAGGTTAAGGGAAGTGGGACCACATTACTTAGGCACCTGTATTACTTGGGCCACACAGACTGCCTTGGTTTAAAGCTGTGGCTCAATGGTCACCCACCAGGGATGTGGTAGTTGTGGGTTTCTTGCACTGGCAGAGGAGTCAACTGGATGATCTTTGTGGCTCCCTTTCAACCCTGTTGATTCTATGTCTCATGAACTGCCTAGCATCTTCAATGCCCAACTTCACACTCCAAGTCACTCATTCAGACTTCTATCATCTCAAAAAAATAAATAAAAAAAATGAAGGAAATGATTTCGACAAGTACTTCTAGACTTAAGTTTTAAGCAATCAGTATCTGGTTGGGACAGGAATCGCTCAACATCCTGTGCAGGGAAACAGCTGACATGAGAGCAATTTCAGCTTTCCCTCTTTTAATCAGGCTTTCTAAAGTACTGCCAATTCACTCCTGTACTTCCCTCGATAAGGCTGTGCTGCTGAGCAACGGGAACAACTGAACGCTTAGACAGCCTCCCATCTTTTCCTGTCAATTAGTTCTACCATCAAACTGGAATGTTATCATGTAAACCATACTTTCAGATGAAACACTGACAGTAAACCCTCCCCCCAAGATTCATGCCTCTCACTGTGTGTGTGTGTGTGTACACCCACACCCACACCCACACCCTCACATCCCTATCAACTTCCCAACATTTTGTACTGCTCTCCTGCTGGTCCATCACTCTCTAGCATAGGGACTGGGAATCTATAGCCCTCCAGATAGTTATCCCATCAGCACCAATCAGTGTGGCCCAATAGTCAGGGATGCTGAGAGTTGGAGGGTTCCCCATCTATTGTGCACAAGAAACACAAATCAGATGGTCTGTGTGGTTGGGAGAGGACTTGATTCTCAATGACTGGAGTCACCACATTAGCAGTGGCCCTGAGTGCATGCTTTTACTTTCCCCTTGTATTAAGTGACTGGTTGCTGTTCATTCCTACATGGAAAGGTAAAGCACCGGAACAGTGCTCTCAGATGCAGCAAGGACAAAAGTATCCTTTGCTGACAGTGATTCCACAAGGAATCATGTCTGTGTATGCAGAACACACCGGTATGCAATGTATCTGCTGAGGTGCATAGTCAGGCTTGCCCTCCTCATACAGCCTGCCATCAAGGCTGGTGTTAGCCTGGTTGATGAAGAACCAGGGGTGCTGCTGTCTACCAAGTCAGATCCATGGTCTAGCTAGCTCAGCAGTGTCCACACTCTGAGGCTCTCTAGGGTTTCAGACAAGGGACAGTCCCAGTCTTGCCTGGAGATGCTGGGAAAATCCTGGAAAATCCCAGGGCTGTACCTGGGATTTTCTGCATTCAAAAGCTGATGAGACCATTATTTGCTGTGGGGAGGGTTAGGGTGGGGCTTCAGAGGAACAATTGGGAGCTTAAAGTGAGCAAGGCAGACCAATACAGACTGAACAATTATTTAATTTGTACATGCATTTAACTGCATTCACACACCCTGGTTTTCTTAATGCTGCATAGCCACAGATTGACACTATTCATCCTCCTAAAATGTTGGGGGAACGGAAAATTCTAAACTCTTTGAAAACGATTTTAGTGCTCTCGTGTCAGAAATAAGACTTATTGAGTTCAATGGGGCTTACTCCTAGATAAGTGGGCCCTACGTTGCAGTCTAAGCTATTGGTCCTTCCCTTCCTCTCACCCCCAGCCACTTATAAATACAAGGAACCTTTTAACAAGCCACTGAGACAAATCACTGACAAGCTACCAAAACTGTCTGCCAGATGTCAGCCAGTGATTAATCTGTCTTAAGTTCAGCCAAAGGGAATAAATGCAATGGGTGGTGCAGCAAAGACAAGCGCAATCAACAACTGACTGAAGAAGGTTTCCTGTCACCTTGGGAATGATATTGATTGGCACTGCAGTTTCCTGTGTACAAGCTAAAACCAGTAGCAACGACTGTAACAAGAATCAGGCCATGATAAGAACTGTGAGCCTGCAATATGCTTACGCTTCTCTTAGGAAAAAAAGCAAAACAAAACACTGGCCTAATTTACATAAAAGGCTTT